TGGTTGGACCCAACTTGAGCCCGTCATTGTTCTTGTAGTTATGCCTTCTAGCAGGAATAAACAGCATGTGTTCATAATTCAACAACACTTAAACCCACATGATCCTCTGCATACATATATATATATGAGTGGGTAGCAGCTTGGACTGAGGGCTCTGAGAGCTGAGTTCAAATTCCAGTCAAATCCATTACATTCACTTGTGTGATAATACCCTTGGGAAAGGTATGAATCCTCTTCTCCCTTCAGCTATGGGTAAATAGCAGGACAGACTTGGTTCTATAGCCTTGGATGGAAACTAGTCTAGGTTAAGGACAACTCTGAATTCTAAGCCTGTGGATGGTTTTTAGGGACCCTGTGGCACGTAGTGCACCAGGTCCCTGTATTCAGCTCTTGAAAAAGTGCGGTTGGTTCTGCACAAAGCCTTCATCACTATAATCAAATTTCAGATATAACTAAAAATATATTTGTAAAAGCACAATATGAATAAAGACAAAAGGATAACTTATCTTAGCCAATGTGTTTCATCCTCTGATGGGCTTTATCAAGGCAAATGTAAGGGTTTTATTTTGAGCAAGTATTAAACAAAAGTAAAAGTTAGTTTTTCAAATTTTTTTAATGTAAGAAATGCTCATAAATATTCATGAGGCTAACTGAAAAGTCTCGGTAAATTATGGAAGATGCTAAGTGACGTTAGCAAATGAAAAACTAAAATTTTTACTTTTGTTTATAAATACGTGTTGCAAAATAAAATCTTTACATTTGACTTGATAAAGTCCGTCAGGAGATGAAACGGGTTGGTTGGCTAAGTTTTCCTTTTGTCTTTATAATAATCTTAATGTTTCCGCGCTGTTGATTTATGGGAAAAATAGTTTGATGTTTTTTGTTGAAAATTACCTTGAGAAATATATCAGCAAGTTATTGCTTGGTATGTCTTTTCTTCAAGCTTCAGGATTATTTTCAGGAAGATAAAAATTTCAGTTAAAATCCCACAAATAAAAGAAAAAAAAAAAAAAAAAAAAAAGGAAAGAAGTCAATCAAAATAATTAAACATTTCCTTTTCTGTTTTCGACTATTTATTGATCTGAAAACGAGTACTTTTTTTTTTTGTTTCTTTTTTTTCTCTGAAAAAAAAAATGTACACAATGCAAAATATATTTATTTTTTAATGTCAGTGCTTACTGGGGTTGAAAACAATTTCGCCTGAACACTTTCGCTGCAGACTTCCTCGGAGCATTCTGAAATTCTTTTTCTTGTTTCCTTTTCTTGTGTGGTTTGATTTCATTTGTAAGTCAATTTTTATCCTTTGTGTCCTTTCTTTATTTTTTATTTGAAAAATATTTGAAAGTTTCGTAAAAAACAAAAACAAAAAGCAAACAAACTTCTTTTTCATTGAATAGTGACGTTCTTATACAATACATTTTTGTAGTAAAAAGGAATGGCCTTTTATTAAGTATGGAAACGTCTTTGCAACATAATTTCTGTATTGACCATTTTTTTTATGAATTGCTAACTTTAAGAGCTACAAATGTATAAATTGTAAGAATTTGTATTTAAGGTGTTTTATCAGTATGACTCACAAAGATGAAATGATGTAGTTTGATGACAAGGATATTTATTATCACAAAATGTATCGTAACAGGAAACAGTAATTTCTTGATAAATGTCAAAAAGAAAAGTTAGTTCTACAGCTATACTTGTTTAAATTATTACGCATATATAAAATTGAAGACAGAAAAACCAAGACAACCTAATTTTTCTGTTCCTCACCTCCTCCCATATAAAACGGGTTTTAAAAGAAATAAAATGTTCACCCGGAACATTTTTCAGTTGAGAAAACATATTCAAATTTTTATTTTTAACAATTTATTTTAAAAATATATAATTATTTTGTTGTTACTTTTCCAATTCTGTAGTATTCTTTGTGCTTATATTTTAGTTGACACTTTTTAATATATTGATTATTTTTAATAATTCTTAATGTGATTGTATAGCGCCATTTGTAGAAGGAAAGTAATATGTATAATTTTTGCATTTTTATTTTGCAAAATTGTATTGCTGAAGATAGGGTTGTCAACTGCAACCAATGCAGGACGGTTCTTTTTTAAATTTAAAAATTATGCATACATTTTACTTTTGTAAAAAGATGTACTTAATAAGCACGAACACAGTTCTGTTTTTCACTCTACAATTCTGAACTGTTAGTTTGCTCTGACCATATAAAATTCTTGAATGATAATCTGTCACATAGGAATGTCTATTAGCTAAATTAAGGTTGCTATTTTTATTATGTGGGTCTATGAGAACCTGTTTTTGGGCCCCATGGTTCGTAGCCTATTCATAGGGCCTTACGAGCCTTCTGGTTGGGAATACCCCTTTTTTGCTGTTAAATACTTGTTGAATTTTATTTTATCATTTCGACAGTTTGTGTGATTATCTTTTTCTATGTTCAGTATTTCATTATCAGATTGTTCCAGTATAGATTTAAAAAAAAAATACATTCATATCTATAATCATATTAAATTGAAAGACCAAAATAATGACTAAGCAAAAAAAAAAAAAAATGACACAATTCAATTGTCCTCGGTAGCAAAAGTTCGTTCCCATAATAGTCGAGTTATCTCCTCTTGTTTTTATTCTTGACGTTGTCTGATATTGCCATTTAGGTGAAAAAAGAAATGAAAAAAACGCCTGTAAAAATTATTTATTTTATACATATATATATACTGATATATATATATATATATATATACTTTTATGTACAAATAAAGTAAAATAGTAACAAGAAAAAAAAAAGGGAAATAATGAAGGCGATCAATTTTTTTTTATCAAAGATATGTTTAGGACAATGTGCATATTTTTTTTTGTTGTTCCTCCGGCTGTTCGTAGTTATCTCCCCTCTCAGTTGTGAACGTGCAAGGCAGGCAAGTGTCTCATCGTGCACTTAAGAGAAATCGTTTTCTCTTTCTCACTTTCTCCAATGACTTTACTCTCAGATATTTATACATTTACAATATATTTTTCTTATGTTGCTTACACTTCCTTCGTCGACCACTTTGTTTTTGTTATTCAGGCGATGTTTATTTTTTCTTTGTTTTGTATGAAATTCTGCGAATTGACGAAGGAAATGATATCATAAGAAGCCTTAAAAATAACGCAAACCACCTGTACCTGTAGCAAAAGCTCAGACTATTAGAATTAAAGCAAGCAGGTTTTTATTTGAATTAAACTGAGCTATTCATTAATAATATTATTAATATAATCATTTTGTTAAATTTATCTCTTTCTCCATTTCCTTTTCTTCGGATAGAGGCAGGCATGCATGGTGCAAGAAGTGAGTAAGTTAGTGAAAGGAAAAGTGGTTATACAGTGACAAGATGTGTTAGTATCCCTTCTTCTAAGGCATTATCTTGCTATTTTCAAGGGACATACCTTTAAAGTTTCTAAATAGAAAAAAGAAGCTCGAATTCACTGTTACGTTTTCTTTGTAAAATGAAAAATAAGAGATATCGCTATGCACTTCGTTGGTTCTTGTATGGCACAAGGCTGCCGTGGAGAGGTCAGCCTACGAAGATCGAACTCGCTCCACTTGAGAGAAGTTTAAATGAAACTTGATGGCTCTATGACAGGCGGCCGATCTTATTTTATTACTAATCTTCGTTAAAATATATCCTCTCTATTGTTAAATTATCTTTCTTGTTTTGGAGATAAAAGTTGTTATGGACTTGTGAACACTCTTGCTATTTTTATTTATTTATTTATTTTTTTTTAGCTTTTTAAAAAAATATAAAAGTGATTTACATCAAAAAACGATAAAATTTTATCAGTGATCTTCGTAGATGAAAGAGGAGGAGGAATGAACATGTAGCGGCAGTGAATTTAAATGTGTCAGATGAGTGAAGGCCATAATAATAAAAATTGTGAAAGTGAAACGTATTTGTGAATGTTATTTAGAAGCACTGTTTAGTAAATTTGGTCGTTCAAGGATATCACCCAATGAGTTTGTGCAGATGATGCTCCAAACGGTATTATTATTGGCAAGACTTTGTGCTTAGAGAGCCAGAGACCTTGTGCAGCTATCGTAATTGGGATTAAAAGAATATAAAAACCGTAATCCCGGTGGATAGATGTGGTCTTTGAATGTAAGTATTGTGAGTGCATTTATAAATTTATTTTTCTTCAAACAAATAACAAAAAATTGAAAAGAAAAAATTCATGAAGATAAAGAGAAAAATGTTCGTTGCTTTTTAGGTCTTTTTTTTCTGTTCTGTTTTGTTTTTCATAAAATGTGTGAATTTGATATTGGCTAAAAAGATTTTTCAAAAATTGCTAGCGTCTCCCAAACAATTGCCTTCTAGAACGCTGTTGTATCACGCATTGGTTTCTTTTATTTAAACGAAAAGAATCTCAATAAGAGAGATGTATCACAATGATTTAGTTGGACGGTTAAAAATTCTGGATTGAAGATTTAAAAAATCATGTTGGTTGAGGTTTGCGAAAGGGACGGGAGTTGGAGTGGAGAAAATAGCAATTATTTAATAAAGCAAAGAAGAGATGAGTAGAAGAAACGTAATTGCAAAAGAGAGAAAATAAAACTTATAATAAAGAAAACATTTAAATGAAAGTCAAGTGTACATGTACGGTGTGTAGGCGTATTTATAGTGGTCATACCCAAGTTCGCTTATTTAATTTACATCACTCTTGGTTATATATATGTGTATATAAACACAGTTTGAAAATTTTGAAGCAGAGAACAAAGTTGCAAGCGGTAGAAATCTGGGAAAGAGAGAGAGAAAAAAAGAAGATAGATGATAGAAAAGAAAGGTAAGGGTGTAGAAAAAGGAGGGGAGGAAGATGGAATAATGATGGTAGGAGGAAGAGGAAAAAGGCTTTTTAAAGGAAGTGGTAGTAGGAGGAGGTTTTGGAGGAAGTGGAGGAGGCGGAGGAGGAAGCTACAGGTGCGATAGTGTTCTAAGTATAACTGTTAAGCGTTTGTATCATTTTCAAGGCCCCTTGATACCATTCCTCCTATTGATTTGGAAATATTCTGGTCCGGATGCTGCAAAATTACAATATTCACAGTAACCTGGTGGTCCGGGCAAGCCAGGGGCACCGCGGCGACCTTGTAAACCGGGAGCTCCTTGTGGACCTCTTTCACCCGGACGTCCAACTCCTGAAGGACCAGTGGGGCCAGGTGGACCTGCAAAGTTTAAAAATGAAATTTATATTAATTTAGCAATTGTCACTGACTTGTAACCCAAAGAAAATACTATGAATTTGAGAGAGAGATTCTAATTTAAATGTGTGACTAGTGGAGAAACAGTAGAACATATGACACACAGAATTCAAAGGCGCGCTGAAATAGCGAAAGATGCTTCCCAAAAGCTAAGCAAAGTATTAAGAAAAAAGGAGGAAATTTTAGTTTCATACAAAGAAAAGAATATTGAACAAAATCCCCTTCTATAGCAGTGGATTCTGGATTATTTTCTTACAGCTGAAAAAGTATTGTTGGTATTGACTAACCTTCAAGTAAGCTAGGATAGTCCTTACTTTTATTTTCTTGAAAAATCCCTTTAGCCTAGTCATGTCATAAAATCGTTCCTGTATAGAGGAAAAGTCACTAGAATCAATTAAAATATGTTTTACAGTATATGCCTCCTGACATGCTGTGCATTCAGGAAATCTTCATATTTTTAGGAACAATGACTGAGTAATATAAGAGTGCCTTATTCTGATTCTTGATAGGACGATTTCTTCCTTTCGAGAAAGTCTGAGACCATGATACCATTCTCTTAGAATGGGTTTCATTTTATAAAGTTTGTTGTTTGGATGATAGTTCTACAACTCTTACAACTTGGTTAGAATGTAGGAGTTTATAGTTGCTTTGAAATCTGTATAGGGGAGTTTCAAATTTGAAATGTTCGTTTTTAGAAAATTCTTTGCTGTATTGTCAGCTTTTCCATTTCTGCGGATAACGATATGGCTAGGTACCCAACAGAAAACGAGTTTTTTTTTCTTCTTTCTTTTAGATGCGATTAATCCTGTTTAATAATTTAACTATTAAGGGATTTGGATATGTTTCTGTTTCTCAGTGATGTAGGTACGGATAGGAAATCGGAGAAAACTATGAAATTGTTTGGCTCAGTTAAGATGTTTAAAGTTATTGCTTCACCACTAAAAATAGAGGATTTGTCACGTCGGCGTTTTTTTCTTATTCTAATGTCATCAAGAACGGCTGAACATGCGACTTTATCAATGTTTTTATTTTTATTTTTTTAGTCACCTGTGTGTATGGTTTTATAATTTGGGTGCTCCTGTAAAATATCGATTTTTTTTTTTAAGAGGTAGATGGGCTAGTATTAGATTATTTACCATTATAGAAGAAAATGATTTGAACACTAACCTCTGATTGGAAAACATTTTTTTTCTTTTCTTTAAATTTCAAAAGGGACCCATTTTAAACTTTCAAAAACTTTTCCTTGATACCTTTCGTTCATTGAACGTACATCAAGGCGGAACTGTAAAAGGTTATCCCTTTCCATACAGACTAACCAAATATGTGCATTTGTTTATAAAGGAATACATGCTGTTGAATTAGTAATTTTTTTATCGTTAAATGAGCGAATTTCCAAACCATGATGACCAGTTGTAGACATATCAATGCCCAGGTGGCCGTGCAGGCCATTCTTGACTACGAGGTCAAGCTCTGAGTCAAATCGATATATGACTTGTACTTGGCTAACAGGCATTAATTGTCGACGTTCAAGTGGTAGGAACGGATAGTTATATTGAGAATGTATTTTGCATGTTTCTGCAATTTTATTGCATTCGGTTTCCACAGAAATGACCACAACTAGATATTCATAAGTAAATAACATAAAGACTGAGCCCTACTAGAATATATATGGTATACAGCGATTAACTTCACTATTTACATTATTCGGACTATTGTCCTCATCTTTGTCGCCATATTTATCACAACGTTTCGGCCGTTGTACGCTCCGGTTGGAATGTCGAACTGAACATTTTATTTCGCTCACTGGGGTAGACTGTTCTAGTTCCACGTGTCATATCAGTTATCTCCTGTTAATTCCCCTCTCCAAGTTTTCCACCGCCTTAACCAGGTATTGAACTTACACTCTTTGGGTCCTGTCACTGGATCTAACTAACGCCTTTATCTACTGTGCCATGTGTCCTTGACTGAGGGATTAACTGATGTAGATAACTCACAAATTGAATTTAACCACTATCTCTAGGACATCAGTGTAAATTGACGCCTCCCACCTATATATCGTAACCATTTTCTTTAAATTTTGTGTTTTCTTGATTTCAGTTGAAATCTTAGAAATTTTCCAACACATTTCAGTGAAATTTTAAGTTTGTAAAATTATTGTTTAGGTATATAGAAAAAAAGGTGTCAGTTAAAACTGACGCCAGGCGGATATGCGTTTTTCATTGATAACATTTACAAATAAATGACATCTGGGAAGGATTAAGAATGAGTTTAACGTACCAGATTATTTTCTAAGCGATAGGGATTAAGTGTTAATGAAAAAAGAAAAAAAAAAGGGGGCTGTCATATTTTACATTATCGTTCTAGAAATTCTAGAAAGTTTTTCGCTTGTGACTATTTATGACTACTGAACTTCACAAGGGGAATAAAAAAAAACAAAAAAAAACAAAAACTATTTACCTGTGGATCCCCTTGGTCCTTGTTTGCCAGGTCTTCCTTCGCCCATCACTCCTCGCTCTCCTTTCTCTCCTCTTGGACCTATAAAAAAAAAAAAAAAAAATGGAAGCGATTATCTAAATTGTATTAAAAACCAACAGTTCATCCAGAATGTCATATATATGCTTTTCTGCGACTATAATTGGTTATCAGTTCTATGTTCAGGTAAGATTGGCTTCCTAAAGTGTTTTGTGACACATAGTCATACCAATGATGTTTACTTTTCTCCGTGATCAGGGGGAATAACTCTAAGTGAATATCAGTCGAAATTCAAACTCTGTAGACACGGTTCATGCTGAATTCACCATTTCATCGGCAACTATAATGCCAATTAGGTACATTAAAAGATATCTCTCGTGTCAAGCTAGGGGAAAAGGTGAGATTTCATCGAATAACTCATTTGCTTGAACTAGAACACTGAAAAATAACCAGAGTTACCAAATGGGAGTAATAAGGGGAGAACCACCTTGTTTATGATGACTAAACAAAGATTTACTGAAGTAGTATATTACTAAGTCTATTTCCCTGTTTTTTTTTTTAAACCCCTTTGCAGTCGCTTGTAATTTCTAAAAGCAAAATGGTCTTGGCAGTGGATTTCGCTGGTATAATAGATATGGGCTCGGAACGAGTTCGAATCCCAAGCGAGTTTCGTTACATTTACGGTATGAAATAATTTTACTCACCAAGCTATAGGTGTAATAAGGCAAACTGGGCTCTTTAGCCTTGACTGGGTAGCACAACTCTGAAAATCGCACGTACGAAGCTCGTATGCAGTTAAGTAAAGGGTAGTGGAATTTACAATGCAACTTTTATTCCGACTTCGATCGTTCAATAAATCAATTAATCACATTGCATAATTGCCGTGACTGATGTTACAAATAAACTGTAGTTTCTAAAAGTAACAAGTTTTAGTAATAATTAACAACTTACCCAGTCGTCCAGGTACTCCTCTTGGGCCTTGTAAACCTGGAATACCCACAAATCCTCTCTCTCCGGGAGGTCCGGGATTGCCACGTTCACCTGTTAGTTATGTCAAGCATATCAATTCATTATTTAACAAAACAAAGGCGAAAGCAGGATATATTTTGATTTGCAAATCTAAGCACAGTCATTTATTCCATTCATTTCCGTGCGTACACTCCCCGAAAGATGCAAATGATTGAATGCTTTAATATATGAATAAATAGATAGTAAAAGGTAGGTAGGTACCTCCAAAAATTCGCTAAAAATGATAATACCATGATGAAAAAAAATGTCCCAAACTTAATAAAGTTTTTATTAAGAGGAAAGACGAAAGGATTTTTTGACGTAAAAATTATTTTTTAATACTTTTTAGAATCTTCTAAATTTTGGTTAAAAATCTTGTTTCTCTGACGTCAACGTGGGGGCCGCAAAATTAGTATGGGAAATTTGAGCGTTTTTTGGGGTAAAACATGCTGTTTTAAAAATTCTTGCAAAAATCAGATAATTGGTGGAATTTAATGAAACTTTCAAGACTTATTCACAAATGAATGAAATTATTTTTGAAACGTTTACTTCTTTAGAAAATCTTATATATATCTCCAAATGTAAAAGAACAAAGAGTAAGATTTCAGCGTTCAGAACATTAATTTAAAACAGAGGCCAATACAAAAGTAGAGCTGTAAATATTTATTTATTATGCAGTGTTACATTAGAACATGCACATACCCACTACACAACTGTACATCTTGTTTCAACGTTAAAAAAAACGAAAACTTTTTTAACGTTTCATCAGGTGGGGAATCACGATGCGACTAATATTACATTTGTTGCTCCCCACTTATTTAATTTGATGTAATTTCGAGAAATTCCTTTTTGTAGCGCTTAATGTTTATATTAGTTATAAGGAAAAATCCTAGGAGAGTTTAAATCTTCAAATTTTTGAGGTCAAACACAAATCTGAATCGTAAAATAAAAATTGCAATAAAACTAAGACATTATTTAATTAGAAAAGCTTTTAATTGCTTTTAAAAATAGAATATATTATTATATTTTTACATCAAGAAAAAGATTTTTCGAGAAACAATGAAGTTTTACAAGAACTGTTTTTATTTTAAAAAAGTAAGACTATAAAATACCTAAAATTCAATAAAATATTAAAACGCTTAAAATATTGAAAATTTTAAAGATTTTTTGCTGGATAGTTAAAAAAAAAAAATAAAGATATAAAAAAGATGTTTACGTTCTATTCATCATGTAATTTTACTATAATTATTTCCCCCTTCCATAAATCTCGCAAACATCAGGTTATCGATAGATGTGTCAACACCTCATAATAAGACCCATTTCCGTGTAAAAAAATGCTTTTCTGTGATAGTTGAAGTAATATTTGTTTTAATTCAGATTAATCTTCCTAAAATAAAGTTTCAGAAAAATATATTTTATTTTTCAATCAAGAGAATTATTTTGTGTTGAAAGATTTGCCAATAGGAACGATTGTAGTGATTTTACTGATAATAAAACAATAATTCCAATCAATTTAAGTTCAGTTTGAAATATAGCTAAGTATTTTGCTTATTGGAAATATTAAAGCTTCAAGAAATATTTTTTCATTTTTAACATGCATTTTAAACTTCAGGTATTGCTTTTTTTGGAGGTACCTAACACACACACACACACACACACACACACTATATATATATATATATATATATATATATATATTAGTGCGTGTGCATACAGAATGTGGCAGAAATACCTTCCACATAATAAGACATTAGTGGAAATGGTGTCTTCATCCAGCTAATGTCTTACCATTATGTGAGAGGTATTTCTGCCGCATCCTGTATATAGTTTTTGAGTAAAACCATCGTTTAGAACTGTGGAGAAAACTCGTAAATAAATAAACCTTTTCATCTCTGATAGATTGGACCAACAATCCACTTATGTAAAATTCCGATGGAAGTAGCTTAGGATTTTGAATGATAATTCCTGCCATAAACCCTACAAGTAAGCTACCTTGTTTTTGGCAGTGTAGCATTTTTACTAGTATATTTATCACGACTGCTATTTTGATTGTCTTGAATTTTCTACATGCAATTTTCTCCGTTTGTCTTAAGATGTAATCTCAAAGAGGTGTTGACAATGTTTGAATCTTACCTTTGGATTTCGAAGGCTGTCTCTTTGACACTATCACATTAGAGAGGCTCTGAAATTCAGATCTTATTCTGATTTTAAAATAATTCACACTGAAACTTAGCAAGAAAGCAACAAGCAAAACGTGCTTTTGAATTGAACAACTGAATTTTCTGCTCTATGAAATTTTAGTTGAAAGAAGCAGAGACTCAAATGGCCGACCTTTGAAATATGAGTTGTTATGAGAACCCATTCGCAATCAACGGGTTAACATCAAACAAGATCGAAATAACCTTACGACCTTTACATGGACTTTAAGACACAAACAGCTGAGAATGAGGTTGTGGGATGAAGTTCTTAAAGATGTCAGGGTCTGTTTTACGGTAGATCACAAGAAGTAGACGGTCATCAGTGTACTTGTTAAGATAAAGAGGTTAACGTTTCATTTCTGCTGTTAAAATGCTCAAGTGAGACGAGTGCAGCCTGAACTGAGAATTCATATGTACTTTTATGATTCTGTCTAGCTCTAGCCAAAGGACTAAGACAAAAAAAACTAATAAGGTATGCACTGATTCGATTATCCAGATGTCAAAATTTATACAGCTATAAATGTGTTTGTATGCTACAAGCTCCCGAAGAATTTTGAATAGCTTTAAATTTTATTTACACTATTGTCCTCATCTTTGTTGTTGTTATAACAACGTTTCGGTCGTTGTACTCCCGCCTTCCTCAGGTGTATAGCGATTTGGTTATTCTGAACTGAACCCTTTATGTAAAAGGTAGACTGTTCTCCTTCCACTGCTCTAGGGATATCGTCTAGTTTTTTAAATTTTATTTAGTACTTTTCAGTTACTGCTCCCCCGTTTTCACTGGGTGCAAGTATGATGCCCGGCCTAGAGATTGAACTCACACCCACTATGTCACCAAATTCACAAACCGACGCTTTTACCCACTAAGCCCCCAAAAAAAAAAAACTAACCTTGGCTGCTGATTAGGCTGCAGCACCTGGGAGCCATGTTTTTGCTGCTGCTGCATTTGAAGACTTGCTGTCATATGCCTTTTTTTTTCGTTCTATATTAGCGAATCCCGATTTCTATGCTAGGCTTTAAATTAAAATCATTCATTTCTTAGCGACCGATGTATCTAGATGCATAACCTAACTGACCTCATTCAGCTTTCTACCGCTATTGTTTTTAAAACATCCCATATTGCAATAAGAGTAGTTTTGTCAGGGGAGGAGATATGTTGTATGATCCCGGACTTGAATTTAACGTGGAAGACTCAGAAATTAGTACACTTTCATTACATTTTCGGTTTAATAAATTAATTTCCCCTTGTAATTAAAACTAGAAGTCTTTTTAAATTAAAGCTAAGCGTCCCTCTATTTTCAACCTTTCTTTTTATAAAACTGTAACCAGTATTTGTTTTATCCCTCACCCTATATATATATATATATATATATATATAAAGGGGAAAACCTTTTCTTATCCCTCGATAATTACATGAAGAGGAAAAATTTTCCAATGTTCCTAATTATTTCATATTCAGTAGGAAAGAAAGGGCTCGTAAAATATTTAAAAATAGAAAAGCAGAGCTTCCTGACAAAACCAATAAATCAAGATATATTGTTCTATCAATTCCATCACAAATACAATTGAAAAGAATTCATCTGAGCTCAACTTAAATGTGTTATAACTACTTCTAAAACAATAAAAGTCTTCATACAAAAAATTATATACTAAAACATAAAGTAGGAATTTATTCTGTCACCTGTAATAATTGTTACAGGAAATACATCGGAGAAACTTCAAGAAATGTAAATAAAAGATTATATGTACACAAAAGGAACCTTTTACAAGAAAACACACTCAATGCATTAGTTGCTCACCGTAATGAGACTGATCATAATTTTGATTTAAAAAATACTACTTTAATTAAAAGAGAAAGCAGTTTGTCAAGACGAAAAGTTTATAGAAAATGCTGTAATAGCTAGATCATCTACAGTAAATTTACGACCAGGTTCATTTCACCCTTTTTTTTTTTTTTTTTTGATAGATTTTATATTATGACGATATGGGATATTTAATAACAAAAGTGATGGAAATATAAACAAAAATAAAAATAAAGTCATCTAGACTATATACTCAAAACATTGAAAAAAAAAAAAAAAATACTCAGCGTCCTCTTTCCTTCGTACGCGTGGGTAATCACATCAACGTAACTATCACTTTATCATTTGAGAATCGACACAAACAAATTGAAAATAGCAAAGTTCTGTCTTTTCACTCAAATTCTGACGAAGCTTTAATAAATTTGCTCTACATTTGATCTTTAACTTGTATGATTAATGTATATTTGGGCAGCAACCTTTCTTTCAATCATCTTTCATTAAATACAACCAACAAGGAAGATTTAATTATTTTTTTTATTAAGTTTTTCCAGCATCCTTGCGTTTTGTTGGAGTAAGGAAGTTCATAGATTTTCCATAATTTTTACTGTCCCAAGCGCTTTCGGTCACATATATAGCCATTATCAAGGGTGTTTTGTCTTTGGTGGTGTTATTTTTCCTCACGTTTTGACTGTTACGTCTTAATTTATTTTTGCGTTGTTTTGAATACGAGTGTTCATTCTGAGCCTTCACATGTTCCACGCGGCTAGAATTCGCGTGAGCATCTTTCTATTTTTAAAAAATTATTAATAATCCATTTCCACTGTTAAATAATGTGAGGTTGATAGTAGGAGAGAAATGTTAGCTATACAGTAAGATATTTCTGATAACGTGATTTATATAGAATTCTAGTGTTTTCAACCAGAACTTTTCTTAAGGGTAAATTATAGGTTGATAAATTTTTTTTATAGAACTTTGGTCTGATAAGTGACACGTGAGGGGTCTACTCAAGGAGGTGATAGTATGTCCGATATAGGTAATTGATTTGTGACAAGAAACAGTCTTGTATTGGGCAGTACGTATATATAAAATCAGTCTTGCAACCTGATCATTCCTTCTAATGAAATATTCTGCTGTTATGGTAACACTGCTCGAAGCCAATAACTAAAAATGTCTCGTAAAACAATAATAACAAAATATCTCATTAGTAAGTAGGGTGGATCATACTGCTAATACTACACTGATTCGATACTTACTTATCTCTCCACAAGGTTAGACTGTGACACATATTTAGCAGACGTACGGATGTCCCTATAGCATAGGGGTGGTTCCCATGTAACGTAAGACTGCCATGCCGAGTTCAAATTCAAGCGGAGACCGTTGCGTTCGTTTTCCTACAAATACCTATCTCTTCTCCCCTTAGCTAGGGGTTAATACCAAAGTAGACTGGGCTGTCTGACTCTAGGAGAAGGATATCTCTGAATTCAAAACCAGTTGGGCGTGGGATTAGCAAATCCACCCCATAAAACAACCTACGAGTCACGAGTTAAGGTTGTGGCCCTATGCTTCACAGGAGCGCCTACAGGACTTACATCATTTTCAAGCTAGTGTTGTGACGGTATCTGAAAATTTTTGCGACCCTACCTATATAGTACATAGTACACGGATCGTTGTAAACAGGCTTGTCTTGTATTTTGCAGGGTCTTTATGGAAGATTAGTAAGCGGCGTTGTTTGCCAACAGCTGAAGAAAAGATCATGTACTACATAAATCCTGTCACTTTTGACGGGTACTATGCTAGAAAAATAAATATATCGAAAATTCTTTGTTTATGATAATCTATAAAGACAATTAGGTTTGACTAAAGTTACGCCCCTAAGACATTTCTAATTAATAATAATAACAGTTAATATTAACATAAAAGGTAATACAAATTCTTGCCTTTTTTTGAAATACTTAACCACAAGCTGATATTCGAAATCCCGACTTGCTGCTTAGGATTGAACACTGATTACCAGTATCAATTAAACTTGCTGCTTAGGATTGAACACTGATTACCAGTATCAATTAAAATAAAAACAACTCATAGGCATGCGATTATTTATACACTATATGTCTATAAAAATAATTACTAGTCTGGTATAAGGCCAAAGGGAGAACTGTGGTTGTGTCCGTCTTTCAAGTGGGGAAGAGTCTACTATCCTTGAAAATAGGATTTGAAACGCTGGCGTTTTTTTTTCTGGGCACACAAAAAAGTCACGCAATATGCAACCACCTTTATCACCAAGTAAGCTCTGAATGACCACTGTATAGTGATCGATGGGTTATTAAAGCATATTTATGTTCATTCGTTACCCGCACGCTTTCTCTCTTCACTTCTCTCAACAAGAAACATTTAAAAACTCATGCGATTCTTCTAGAAGAAGAAAAATGAAATTAATTGAAATAGCGTAACATACCTGGAGCTCCGGTATTGCCTGGGGCTCCTGGACGTCCAGTTTTACCAATACCTGTGGGTCCTGGTGGTCCTCGGAGATCTGCCGTCAAGTCTTCAAGCCGTTCTGAAGATTCAACAAAACGGGTTATAACGTAGAAATTAAAGTAAATCTTTACAACTTCATCACTATCTGGAATCCCTTATTAAAAGGATACATCTAACTGAAAACCTTGTTTTGACGCACATTGGTAACAGATCCTTTTTGTTTCAGTTGGTAAATTTGACATCAAAGTTTCCTGCTGTTAATTTTTCATTTCAAATTCTCGCCACTTGTTGATCCTGAAATCTCGACGACTGAACATACAGACTAACTACATATCTCATTCACACAGAATACAAATCATATTAGGAGAGAGTTTTGAACGATACGTCAATGGCAGCTGGCAATCTCTATCATTTGGTTTTTCTTCCGAACCTATACTATAGTAAGCGATCACTATGGTCTGGTGATCGCTTAAGGCATGGGACTGCCAGTAACCATGCGGTGTCGATTTTTATGTCCACACTCTTTATATCTACATATGCTTTATTCCCGATATTAGCAAATTTTAAACAACACCATTATATATATTTTAAAATTGTTTGATGGCTGCTTAAGGCATGAAACTCCTTGCTATCCCCCTCTCTCTCTCATATATATATATATATATATATAGAGAGAGAGAGAGAGACGGTGTATTTAGGTAGACATTTTTTTATTTATACAAATTTGGTTTAAGGCTAACAAAAATTTAAAAAAATATTTTCTATATTTCAGATCATCCTTTTGGTTTCCGGTACATGTTTAAACATAAATTGTTCTGTGCTCGAAAACGTTATTTTAGTGGAGAGTAGACGCTGCGTTTTTTTTTTTTTTTATTTTAAACAGTATTTTTTTGTAAAAAATAAGAAACGGAGCGTCTACGAAAAAAATAACGTTTGAAGTAATAAAAAAATCCATTATTTCTTCTTATATAAAATTTTAAATTTACTATATTTATAGAAGAGTGCTCAACATTGGATATAGAGCGTTCATAGATATGGAGAGTGTGGACATATGAATGAACACTAAACAGTTACAGTCAGTTTCGCGCTTCAAAGCTATTTTTAGACTTTTTTTAGCGGGCTGTACATATTTAGATTACTAGGGGATTAAGATAAGTGGACAGTTTATTTTTATTTATGATTAATGCTACAGTCAGGATTGCTTATTTATGCTGTTTGTTGTAATGTACAGGATTCGTCAAAAGTAAGGCCCTTTTCTATTAATTAACTTTTATTAAACAAAAATAAATTATAGTAGTCTAAGAAAATGTATAAACATTGTGACATCATAACATGATTTGTTATAATTAACAAATTAATTAACATGTTCAAAATGCTCCCCTTTATGTTCAATACAATGCTGAACCCTATCAGCAACACTTTTACAAACCTTTTGACACATTTGTACATTAATTTCTGAAAATCTATCAGAAATTGCTTGTTTATATGTGTGTAGTCATTAGGTGATTAATACTGTATTAATCAAATAATCATTTCACCTCAAGCAAGGTGATAAAGCTACTAAGATGTAAGCGGGATACTTAGGATGAAAAACAAATAGAGTGAAGGAAAATGAGAAAACGTTACTGAAGAAAAAGGATAATAAAAAGAACGGGATTGAAGAAGACGATTGATGTTGCATTTGAATTTTTGTAGATTGTATTTGACAGGGAAGTAAGAATCTTGAACAGAGTTCTAAGTCAGACGTGGGAGAATAAAATAGATGAGACCTAACTGACAATCTAGTACTCCGTTTTAATTGTGAAACTACTATACAGGATCAAGGTAAATTAGAGAATGGCGTAGGAAGACGATGGCGCTAATGAACCACGTGAAGAGAGCCTTCTAGCTCGAATATTGACGGATGGTATCGGTACAAAATACACAAGTATCTCAACCATCAAGCAATGCTGACAAATTGGACATATTTTTGGCCCGTATTTCCTCGTTCCCAAAATAACCCACAGATACACATTTAGAGACATAAACTATTTTTTATTTTAAATACTTCTATTTCTTACCTAATCTTTTATGTGCCACGACGGATCATGGCTCTTCGCACCTTCTTGTCTTTTATTGCTCTTTGACTCTTTATTGTCTCTCTTCTGTCATCCATTGATACAAACTCGTTAAGTGGGCGATCATACCTCTAAAAACCTTCCTACCTTTTGTTGATATAAATTTTGAATATTTACTATCTCTCTTTGACCCTCTGCCATCCATTCACACAAACTGGTTAGGTATGTTATTCGTCGTTTCCTCTTACTTCCTTGCCCTCAGTATATCCCGTGAGTGTTAAATTCTCCAGACCCTCTTTCCTCATTATGTGTTCCAGAAATGGCTTCTGTTTCTTTCTTATTGTAAGTATATGTTTCCTTGTACTATTTCCCTTAAAATCTCCTTGCTGCTCACATATCTTAACCAGATTTTTAATTTTGCCTCCTTGTATTGTCATAGCTTACAAATGTGTACTGTACAATTAGAAAAAAAATCAATTTTGTGAAGCAATTTTCTTACCTCTCAAAAGTTGATATACGATTTCACGAATTTCGTTTTCACCGATACTACGTCCCTGGAAAAATGAAATGGGCGATTGTTAAATTTTGTAAAATTTGTTAAACGAAACGTCTAATAAATATTTATCAAGCAAATGCATGATTAACTACAAAACATGCGACAGAATGAAGAGTTGATATTAACATTTATAAATTGCCGACAAACTTGGACACGAAGGTCCTAGTTTACTGCAAAAAAGGAGTGTCAAAATGATCGTTTTTCCCTTGACACCACTATTATTTTAACTACCTTCACTCCTCAGCAATGTTTATTATTTTAAAAAGTGATGATTAGAATTTTAATAAAACCTAAACACATGAAAGTGAATTTATACATTTTCTTTGTATTTGACATTCCGTTTTTTTTTTTCGGACACGAAGATCCAAATTTCAAATAATTATAAAAGGTACAGATTTTGATATAAAATTATGTAAATATATATATATATATATATATATATATATATATATATATATATATATATAGAAGCAGATAGGTGCAGTACAAACACAGCCATTACGTTTTCAGAGAAAGTCATGAGGATATTTTAACTGGCCAAAGAAAATTCAAACTCTTCGTAAATAAATATAAAAGAATTGAAAAGTTAGTTTTTAAAGGTTTCTCTTTTACGTTTATGTGTTCTATCATTACAGGAGGTAGGCGATTATGGTTCTCTCCAACTTCCCATCTTTTGTAGCTATAAATAACTTTTGACTCTTTACCATTCTTTTTTATTGTCATCCATTTACTTAAATCCGTTAAATCTGTATCTTAAGTGGCACTCGGGCCTTTTATTGAGTGAAATTTTAGTATATAACCCCCCCTCCTAATCAGTCTTCTGATCATCAGTTATCATATTAATATTGGGAAGTGAGCCGTGCTGAGAACTTTTTATTACCCATCTATTTATTTCGGAAACGATATTGATCACATTGAAACTGCAACAAATATAAGGCGTGTATTTATCAAAAACAGAAGGCAACTAATATCAGGCTCGTTTCAATGAGACCTTTTCGTTCCTAATTTCGGGTCGAAATCGGTCGGTGTCCAGGGAAGTTGACAAAAAGAAGAAACCGTTCTTGTCACATGACATTCGAACGGGAGCATTTGAGTCAATAAATCAAGTTGTGTCAAATCTGGAGAACGCCGTAGGTGGGGTTGGGTTGATACTACATTTTTTTTTTAGTTCCGCTCATCTACCTAGAAATATTTCGTCTAAACTTGATATCACAATAGAATGGGGAAATTATAACTTGTCTTTTCGAACAAATAACTGAAATAGGTTTTATACAGTGGGAGGTGGGGGCAGGTGATTTGAGGCACTTTGCATAATAATATATTTACAACCATTATAGTGTTGCCAATCGAGCGACAGGCTTAACAGGAATTAGCGATCGTTTATTTAGGCGTGGGGCACGAGCAAGTGAAGTGTAGGAAACGAAAAGAAGTTGTTTATAGTTATTGAACCCCCCCACCCCAAAAAAAAAGCAACGAAAAGAAAAAAAACAACTTTATTTTAAATGGAATATAAAATTATGCCATCGATCTGGCATCAGTATATTGTCAACTATGTAAACATAATTTGGGTAGGAGTTAATTGTGTGTCGACTGGATCGAAATCATGAAGCACCTACTTTTTAGGAAGCGTGTTATTTCTCAAATAAACTAAGCTGTTACCTATATTTCTTCTTTCTCACTCATGAAACAAATCCATCAGAGAATGTGTTCCAACTACTTTTGCTGCATTAAGTATTTGCATTCAGGCTTAAAAAAATAATGTTTGCCTATACGGTATGAAAATATCGACCTAGAATTTGCCATAAATTTTTCATTGCGCTTTTAAGCGTCTCATACAGAATCTTTAAATATATTAAGAAACAAAAAAAAAAAAAAAAAAAAACACTTACCGGAAGGCCAGGCATTCCCGGCATTCCTGGTTGTCCTCTAAGTCCTCTTGGTCCTGAAGGTCCAGCGGGTCCAGAAAGGCCAGGTATTCCAGCAGGTCCCTGGGGTCCTTGTGGCCCAGGTTCACCAGTAGCACCTCGTTCTCCAGGCTGTAAATATGAGTTATTAACATTATATTTTTTGTCCTTTAACAACTGAGCAGTGATTTTTAAAGCGCAGTCAAATATTTGACTATAATTTGCGTCGCATTCCCCACGAGGAAAACAAACTGAATTTCCTTGCCCCCCTTCCTTCCAACCAATCATCCTGCTTCAATTAAATGGCTGATATATTTTGCTATACAATTAATAATAGTTAATAATTAAAATAGATATTTTCAAATATAAGATTCAGAATAAAATATAAATAAAAGGCACAATTGAAAACATTCTTTCCGCTATATAATGTGAATATATTACCAAGGAATTATTTATCATCAAGATCCTTTGAAGATTAGAAAGAGATTGTTCATGTTCAGCCTTATTTATTGACTTGAATGTATCTGTTGTTAATGATACTAAAAATTCAAGTACTCAAGCCGAGGAAGATATTATTTAGGATGTTTTCTTGTATTTTATGATAAGGACTTGTAAATGTACTGTAGACAAACATAAAAAATCGTTTTGTACTGTAAAAGAACTTACCATTCCAGGTGGGCCATTATTTCCAGGGTGTCCCTGTAAATCAGAAAAAAAAGATTATCATTGCAACTGAATGTTGTATGGATATGTTTTTCAATACGAAAAATAACGCTTCTTCGCTTACAGTATTATCATCAGAACTGTTTCGACTTTCAGGGCTCATCTTCAGGATGTCTACTCGTTTCTTCAACGCCCACACAGTCAACATGTGGTTTATATTGCAAATACACTGAGCGAACTTTAGTTACAGTTCAAGTAACCTACAATCTGTTGTTAACTGGAGCAAGAAATGGCTTGTTAATTTTAACGCTTCCAAAAACGAAACTGCTCACTTTTAGAAAGTGAGCAGTTTTACAGAAGTTCTTTGCCTTCCATCAACATGGCTGATGCTAACCTCCAGGAGAGTGACTCATTGCACCATTTCGGGCTTACGTTTTTCGCTGACATGAAGTGGAAAGCTTACATTGAATCAATTGCTAAGTTTTCAGCTAGGAAAATTAGCTCACTGTGTTGTGCTAGGTATTTTTTCTTAACAGAATCTTTCTTTCACATTTATAAGTCTACCATTCGTCCATATATTAAATATTGCTGTCACATCTGGTTTGTTGCTTTTGCTCTGTATTTAGAGAGTCTTGATAAAATCTAAAAACTCTGCAATGTTATCGGTCTTGACCAGGTATTTCGGCTTCAGTCATTTACCAATTGCCTAACGTAGTTTATGTTCCTTTTCTGTAAAGACCTTTATGATAATGATTCTGATGAGCTTTCCTTTTGAGTACCTCGACTTTACAACTTTAAGTGCAGCAACAGATTGGTAGCCTGATGTCATCATGTTACAGTTGAAATTACTAGATGTAACCGTAAGTTCTAAGCTAACAGTTTCATCTCTCGCACTTCTTGTTTGGGGAAAACTCTTCTGGACCCTTGCTTTCCAGTCAATTTTGATCTTAAAAATTTAAATGCAATGACAATCGTTACCTTCTGCCTTCTTTATTTGTTTTTTTTTATTGTTTTTTTCTCCTCAATAATGTTTTCTTTTTCTCATATACTTTCATATTCAGTAACCCCCCCACTGCGTCTCAGTGGCTTTATTTCCTTTCATGTGATAAAATGATTAAAAAAAGTATGTGCTCCGCTAAGTTCATATACGAATTTGAATTTAGAGTTGTCCTTTAATGGTTGCCAGACACAGCTAGAGAATCCAGTCTGCTTTGCGATTTAATCCATAGCTGGGGTGAGGAGAGGAGTTGGATTCATATCTTTCCTAGAAGTATTTGTGAGAAAGTGAATCGAATGATCTGTTGTAACTTAGGAAAGGTTACTGAATAGAATAATCAAACGAAGGTTGGTAATGAACGATAATACTTAAGACAAGAACAACACATAAAATTCGCCAGTGGTGCGTAGAATTCCACAATGAATCTCCAACTGCAGAATATCTGCCAGCCACCTCACGCGGTCAAATGTGGCACAAGGCCGAATTTAATGTGGGGTATCCGAGCCTGTGGGCTCGGCCAAAAATTCCCCGTAGACCCCGTATAAAACAGGGTCGAGTAGCTGTTTCCCGAGACGTGACTCGGCCTTTCGACATAGCCTCGTCTGGGGATCCTCTCTGCCCGGAGACAGAGAGCTTGACCAGCGCAGCTGGAGACGAATTTCCAACTGCAAACTAACAGAGCATTTACTATTGTATTTATGTGAATGGGGGACATACCCATTATCGTCCGTAGGTATGCTACAAGATAATTTCAACATGAATTTGAAATCAGCTCGCCGATTTCACGTTCCATGTTTACAGTAATGATTTAAAAGAAAATAGATTATAAATGCACTCTCCCTTCCGCTATCCGAAAGGAGAGGACGCCTATAACATTCCTAAGGAGGAGGAATTAGTATTAATTTTTATTTGAAAAATGTTTGAGCTTTCTCATACACACTCAAAATCATTTTCAAAATTTTCGCTGCCTTTCTCATAAGTGCATAAACATGAGGCTGAGCAGTCAACTATATCGTATTTTAATCCTTTCTCGTCAACTACAGCCGACCATGAGCCCCAGCCATCAGCATCTAGACATCCAGTCATCACTGAAATTGAATATAGTCTAGCAAAATGGGTAGAGCTACGAAGATTGTGTTGCGCCAATTCCACAAGTCGATAGGTCAAGTGTAACAATAGTAAAAGCAGTAGATTCAGCGTGTTAAATCATTGGAGCATGAATTTTGTGGCGTATTAATTGTGAGTTCAGTCCCTGGGCCGGGTAGTACATATTCGACTCAGTATAAATGGTCATAAATGATAAAGACAGGCATTCTGACGTGGTGTAATGGTTAGCAAGCTTGTCTCGCTTGACCAATTACGACTGAGTAGTGAGTTAGATTCTCACTGGGTGCTCCATACTTTCGGCCTTGTACCACAACTAAGCTACGCTTAGTAAATCACCATAAATGATAAAGACTAATTTAGACGATACAAATTAAGGGAAGTAATAAAAAATCAAAACATTTTTCTCATTTATAACTAAAGCTTCCCATAAATTATGATTAAATTTTCGTTTTTTTTCCCCTGAACTTTAGCTTCAATAAAAATCAACTAATATTACAGCGTTGGTTGCTGTGACGTTGGATAATGGTTAAAGAGCTATTTTGGATAAGTTAAGCTGGTTGATTTTACGACATGCCAACGCTTTGGGGTTATTTTATTTTGATTGTTTTTGTATGAGGTACCCAGTGATACTCGAACTCCCTACTCAGTAGGACTAACTTCGGTAACGATTATACCACGCCAAGGCGCCTTTGGCACATTTTAGTTGACCATTACTATTACTATCTCAAAGACGCCTTCTTTCTATATATTGTGACCAGTTTGCTTACAGTTCGTATTTGATTTCAGAGAAAAACTTGGACATTTTCCAAAACATTTCCCATATTTCAGTGAAATTTTCACTTTTCAAAATTATAGTTTAGATATATGAATAGAGTAGGGAGAAGGAGTCAGTTTAAACTGACACCAGGATGATATGGGTGTGCTAAAGCAGCATAATGATATCAGATATTAAATTTAATGAAAAATATTCAGCGCATGTGGGTTGGGGTACTTGCCTGAGGACCATAAGACACGGAGCCATCCGATCCTGAAGAGAGGTGAGATTCTCCCTGAAAAAGAAAAAAAAAAAAGAAAAAAAAATTAATCAAAATTGGCTTACACCTTTCATAAGACATATTTTACCTACATGCGTTTACACACATCACTATTCGCCACCCCCCAAAAGGAAAAAAAACTTATAGCCATGACAGAAATAGACATCTTACTAAGATTCACAATCATCCAGTCTACACTAAAAACACAAGAAAAAAAAATGCTCGCACATTAGGAAATCCGGGAATTATCAGATTTTGAAAAGATGTGTATTCCCACCGACTAACAATAATGGTTCCTTTCAAGAGCAAAAGTGTGTACGTGAATTGATTTTTTTTTTAAGTGAGTCAGGGGTTGCATAACTCACTGTCTTGACAGTATCACAAGGTGAAATTCCCCTTGGTTGGTGGAACATCAGAATTGTCTGCACCAATTCATGTACCCTATCAACACATTCTTGGATTCTTTCACTACCGAGTAAAAATGTTAAACACATTTTTGAAACTATCTTGTCTAATAAACGTACCCTCATAGACGTGTTAACATTTTTCTGAATTCATCTCATATATACAGAGTGCCCTACAAAAAACCTGGAAATTTTAGATTTACTATATTGTGAAAAAAAATTACCGTGTGGGGTCTACTGTTACATAAACTTCAATTACAGAGGCGAGAGAGCACAGACATACAATCCTTAAAACCTGTGTTGATAGAAGCTTGGAACAATAACTCGCTTGAAGTTATCCAAAGGACAACTATAAGTTAGACATACTGTCTACATCGTTGTGCAGCTGCCCACGTAAAGCATTTTGAACGCCTTATCTAACATTTGTGTTTTTGTTGTTTTAAGTTTTTAAATTTATATCCTTTGCTTTTGTTTCAAATAACTATAACAAAATTTCCATCAATTAAATTAATTGTACTAAATTTCCTGTTTTTTGTGCGACCCCCTGTATATAATAAAAGTAGAGAGAAAGACGACTGATAAGGCATTACGATTAAGCTTTTTATTTTCTTTTGTTCGTATATGTGTTTTCTGTTCTGGGCATAAAAATTGTGCAAATATTCTGCAGATCGGAGCGCTTTCGGCTATTCTTTTAGCCTTTATCAAGGATGATTTTTATTTTTAACCGAAATTTGGACAATTTTAACACACTTTATGTCCAGAAAAGATAACACTTATACAAACACAAGAAAAATTAAATAAGTTGTTAGTCGTCTTTAATGAAACTTGTATAAAAAAGGGATTTCTGCCCAAATACACAATTTTATATATCCTAATGAGCCAGGTACTACCTACCTAGGTTTTCACCAGATGGGATCACCAGGGTGAACTGGCCAGTTCACCCTGGTGATCCCATCTGGTGAAACCTAAGTAGGCAGTACCTGGCTCATTAGGATTTATTTATTTATTTTAGTTTTTGCTCTACTTAGAGTATTGAGCACTCTTCGTTTTAACTTATTACTCACTGGATTTTTTTTTATTATTTGTACCAGAGATTTAAATTTAAATTTAAATTTAAAAATTTAAATTTAGATTTATTTGTACCAGAGATTTAAGTGACTGTATGATTTCTTTCGCCTTGTTTGGAGGTTTTTGGCGCTTTTTTTTTCTTCCAAATTTTCCTAGGATACCAATTTGTTTGAAAATTGTGCTATCCAGGTTTTTTTTTAACTCTAACACTATCGCCCGAATTTAAATAGATTTACATATATATATATATATATATATATATATATATATATATACATACACACACATACATAAAGTGAAAATTGACGTCTACAACAAGAGGTGGCAGTCTGTTTCATGCTAAACGCTATCGCTAGGCCATATCCCTGATATTGAGCACTTTTACCGATAAATATAGCATACCTTAAAACTATATTTTATCATATATATATATATATATACCGCATTTCGCACATTAGGGCCGACCAAGGTAATTCTGGAAGATGACATTTTAAGGCAAGCAGTTTTTGTAATTAGTTGATATTAAGAGATAGAGACGTAATACTAATACTACTAATAATAAATTATTCACTTATGACTGTTTCTACTTCGAGTTTCACGGAATTACACCCACTCTTAAGGTACCTTGTTAGTAAATTTATCAGAATCTCCGGAAATTGGGTATAATTTGCCTAAAATCAGAGTAGAGCCAGTCATAAGTGTTTTTACGCACACATACACAAAACATTTTATATATAACACATGTAGGTACGTCAATAGAAACGCAACCAAATAGTGAAAATACTTTGATTTTCGTATTATTTATTTTTTTGTCAATGCACTTAATTCATTGCTGAATACATAAAACATTATGTAGTGAACATTTGTCATCCTATGTAATAAATACGTGTCAAACTAGGAATCTATTGTTCGATTCTCACATAAAATTGACTTCGTGAAAGAGCAGAACACAACAATAATAAAATGGAGAAATATATTTAAAGAAGTGAAAACCAAATGAGAGTAAAGATTTGACAAAAAAATAAAAGAAGTTTTTTTTTTATGATGTTGGAAAATGAGATTCTATTAAAGAGTAGAGAACAACAATAATAATCGGACATAATATATTTAAAAACTCATGTGAAAACTGAACAATAATAGGAACAACTTAAAATATTCCATTATTTTGAAAACAAAATAGTCAATATATAATCCGAAATTTACTCTTATTTTATAGAATTTAGATGGAAACGTTTGCACAAAAAATCAAATATCCAACTAATCTTGTAATTTTTATTTCTGGGAGAAAGATACGTATCTAAAAAAAAATAGAAACTTAAGATTTTGACCAATACTCAGATTGCTTGAGTTTTGTACAAGAATTAGAATTCAAGTTGCTCAGATTTTTTATGCCTGACTCTAATGTAAAGGAAGGACATTCCAATGTCATGAACTTACCCGGTCTCCTTTTGGTCCGACTAAACCGACATGTCCCTAAAAATAGAAAAAATATTGAAAATAATAAAGTGTATTTATAAAATGTGTATTAAAAAACATGCACAATCGAGAATAACAATTCGGATAAAAATTTTGGGTACAATTTAAACGAAAAATGATTCACAGATTACTTCATCTTATTGAGAGTAGTACTTTTTATGTAGGTCAGCACGCCAGTCTAAGACAATAACAATATATCACAACCGTTTAGTGATATGGACACACCATAATGCTAAAGTACATTAGTTAATATCGCCATAAGTATAACAAATGTGTTCTAGTCGAAAACATTACGAACAAATATTTTTTTAAAAATGCCATACCCTGTCAGGACGTAGACAATGTTTTTCTACAGATTCTCCATTTTTCTCTATAATTTTGAATTCATAAGTTTCTCGTAGAATAGCTACCACCCAAGGCTAGAAAAGTCGGTCTACCCTATCATTTAACCCATAGTTAGAAAGAGAAGAAATAGATTCATGCCTCCCTCCCCCAAAAAAGGCATGAGTTTGAACCCGACTCAATTCCACTTATCGCGCCAATAACCAACTCAGTGCTATCTTGCTATAAATATGTTTTTCTAAAATACAATTGCCATTTTTTTATTGTTCATATATATATATATATTTGCATTATTATTTAAGCAATACAAATGCAGTATTACTAAAATACTAATTCAAATAATGTAGTATCTGATTCACGTCAAGTAATACCAGAGGTTTGAATCTAATTTAATGTCAATCAAGAACATTTGACGTCAGAGGAGTTGATGGGTTCACTTTAAGAGATACCAAGGTAAGTTTTGAACTCGGTGTCACACCAGAATACCAAAAGTGGTGCTTCTGAGGGTTGACTTAGAAAATAACTTCATAGGTAGTGAAAGAATATATATATATATATATATATATATATATATATATATATATATATATATATATATATGTATATATATATATACATAACCAAACGACTTGGTGTATAGCCTCAAATTTGGTATAGATGAAAGTTATAACGTAAAAAATGTTCTGAGAGGTGAAAGTGAAAAAAAAATTCAAAACAAAAACAATTTCAACAGGCAATTTATCTTGCAATATATCCTATATATATATATATATATATATATATATTAGTCATCTACAGAGAGACTGTTTCGCTGTATCACAGCTTATCAGTGTGGCTAGACATCCGGTTGCCTCTAGTTAGGATCGAAACCCGACTGAATTGGCGTCAGTTGGGTATTCTACCACTAAGCCGTTGGCGTACGGCAGGGATGAAGGTGAATTTAAGCGTATTTATTTTTAGATAAACACACAGTGACTGAGAGAACTCGATTCGATTTACCGAAGAGTCTTGCATTATTAGCTGTAATAGTCACTGTTTACAAACCCACACTTCCTCGCCAGAGAGCTCAACTAAAATAAATTTTTCAGGAGCATTTACAATATTTCTTTATTAGAAACATTTGTTTTTCATTTGCGCTATTGTACAGTTTTACTGTATATGATTGCGGAAAATGAACGTTGATGCGCGTGAGTAATGAAACCACTAATCTTTAATTGACAACAAAGGACGTAAAGTAGACATTTAAACATTTCTTTCAAATTTGTATAAAAAGTTATGTGGTGCGAATTTAAAACATGTAAACTTACACATTACTTGTACGAATAATTAGTTCCGCCTAACTTGACCCTGATTGAAACCGCCATTAGTTGGAAGGAATCGTTTTACTGTTGTTTTAATCAGCCGCGATCCAAGTTTTACTTATATTTTTTTGCGTTAAGAACATATTCCGAAATTGTAATCTATTCACATTTGAACTGATTTTTTTTGTATTCTCAATCATATCTTCTCTTTATTGCTAATAATTATGGGATGTCGTTTTATTATTAGTTAAATAAAGAAAGTAAACACTTGTAAAGTAAGTGCAGTTACAATAGGAATTATCAGTGTTAAAACTACCATTCATTTGCGGTGACATTTTTACGTGTCTGATACAAGGGAGGTCTTAATAATTGGGAAGTGTCGGAATTTTTCTCACTATGAAAGGGAGGTTTTAATAAAAGGGGATCGGAAAATAAGTTAAAGAGGCAAAAAAAAAAAAGAAAAAAAAAGAAAAATGCGAAATTAATAAGTAAACTTAGTGGGTATGTGAAAATCTCTTCTAGAAATAAACATTCCCCCTGTTTCTATTACACTGGTGGTGTAATGGATACCGGCTCGGATTAAGGAATCAGAGAGCCGAGTTCGAATTCCATATGTACTAATACCCTTGGGAAAGGTATGAATCCTCTTCTTCTCGCCCCAGCTATGGGGAAATAGCAAGACGGACCGGGTTCTATAGCCTGGGATGGCAACTGGGCTTACGCAGAAAGAAATGGCAACTTACTGCGGGAAAGTTATGTATCGAAAGATACATGATAGCTTATGCGTGTATCATGCATGGCACATAACTCCTCTACGTTTAAATCTGAGATTGGTAGAGTTTTGTTGCTATTCTCTGGGTAAGTAAATTAGTTTTGTGAGGAAGGTTTACCCGAGAGCTCACTCGTTCATTCACTTTTCTTACAAACAGTCAAAGTAGTTTTGTGAGAGGGGTCTGACAAAATAGTTGTTTTTGTTTGTGTGATTGATGGGGCAGGGTACAGGAAGAATTGGGTTTATGCCCCTTTTAAGGGCATAGGCCGGAAATAATTAACCTCAACCAAAATCCGCAACATGTTTCACCTCTTAACAGGGATGTGCGGATGGTGTAATGGATAGTGGCTCGAAATGAGAAATCAAAGAGCTGAGTTCAATTTCCAGTCTGGTTCGTTATATTAATTTACACGCAAATACCGTTGGGAAAGGTATGGATTCATCTCCCGCCAGCTATGGGTTAAATAATAGGACTCTTGTATCTGGAAAAATCATTGTTATTCTCAAAATAGACGATTAATGCAATATTCACTAGCAAAATAAATAAGTAAAATAAAAAAAAAAATTATTCTTACAATCCAAAATATATTTCGGCTTCAGTCTGCTTCAACACTATACGACTAACGCTCCGCTCAAAACTCTTAAATTTTATTTACTATTTTTTTTCTTTCAATAGAAATAGGTTTGCCTATCGTCCGGTTCACACTCCTCTCTGCTCTGGTTTAGGATTGGGTTTCCGGTTCCTTCTAAAGTCTTTTCATTCTCTTTCATTTCCAGTGGCCCCCCCCCCCTTGCGTCTTAGTGCCATTATCGCCTTGCTCGGGGTGAATTGATTAAAAACCAACAGCAAACAAACACAAAGGACTTTTGATCCGAAAAAAACAAAAACAAAAAAAACTATCAATATCGGTAACAGGTATGCTATTCCAATCCTATGGTCATAATAAACATTATTAGTATTGCGTCTACTCAAATCTCCAAAACCTTCTTAAGTATTTCTTGTCGGTCACAGCCTGCCTTAATCTTGAACTCTTTCAATTTAGTACTTATATATGTTCTGTTAAAAAAACTCATGTAAAATATTAACTTCAAAAGCGTGTCAACAGGATAAATAATCTATTTAAAAATTATAATCGCCTAATCTGAATGAATGTTGCTTTTGCCGCTAAAATGACATTAAAATCACAATAATATAAGCGGAAGTTGACTAGATAACGATAGAATTTTCCAATTTTTTTAAGCCGAAAACCCCGAGGAAATTTTAACATTAGATTTAAATCTTGTACATTGAAAATCAGGAAGAAAATTACTGTCAGTGGTTAGTAATTAAAACAAGCGTTATTCACAGACAGAATAGAGCTATTATATGTATATGCCTTTAATATAAACAATCGTTAAATCCGAACTGAAAATGACGCTTGCTCCTTTATATTAAGTTTTGTAATAACAGAAGCAGTAGAAAATAGTGGCAATATTTCGTAAGTTCTTACGTTAATATTTATTTTGATAAGCAAGAATTTATTTAAAAATAAAAACAAAAATCATCAAAGTCTTTGTTGGAATTAATGTATGAATGCAGATACATTTAACAAAAAAGTAATTAGCCTTTTTTTCAGCGAAGATTTTTAATGATTCGTAAATTCCTCTTGAGAAGACGTGAACCAATAAAAATCTTCAAGTCAGAAGTGCAATAAAGCCCCGAGGAAAATTGTTTTGATTTTGCATTTAGTTTAAAAGGAAAGGTTAATATTAACCAACACGAATCAGACAAGGCAAGTAAATACACTAAAAAATGGCCCAATGAGACTATAAAAACGAACATAACAGAGTAGGGACATGGATATATTGGGAATTGTATAAACAACTTGGGTTCAGTCATATAAACAAACTGTCTGAACAAAAACCTGAATCTGAAAAATAAAACGATTAAGACGATTTAGGAGACAGACCATCAGATCTCGATAAAAAGACCGAACATGATAGTTATAAAAACAAAAGGAGGACCTACCAAATCGTGCACAGGGTTAGGTTAAGCAGGTCGCGAAAAATAGCAGGACCTAGCCCAAGAATTGAGAAAACTGTGGAACTTGAAAGTTAGAGTGGTGCCAATAATATTTTGCGGACTTGTAGCTGTTTGAAAGTCACTAGAGGCAAAATTATGTGAATTAGAAATGCGTTCAAGTGTCCAGAGTGTCACCAGCATTTGCAGGTATTTCTGATTCGTCGAATATCGCCCTTGGTGGCATTGCGTTTCGGCTGTTGGATGCGCGCGTAGCGTAGCGGTTACCAGCGCGCCCGGCTCAAATTCCGAGTTCGTTGCGTTCACTTTCTCACAAATATTCTTGAGAAAGGTAAGAATTCATCTCTTCTCCTACTCTATTGTTTAAGTAGCAGAGTAGACCGATCTTTCAAGAGGAGAGCTCTGAATTCAAAACTGGAAATTTCACACCGTAAAAAACTACTTGCTACAGAAGCCAGTAATACCTAGCATGGTGAGTTTGTGACCCTGGTTTCTATAGAGGAGTGTATGGTTATTAAGAAGGTTTATACTTTGAAGACTATGACTTTTCTTTGGTCTGCGACGATACTGAGAAAGGTTTTGAAGATTTTAGGAGACTTAAAAAAAAAATAAACTGCTAACTACATAATTGTGTATAAAAAGGTGATTTCCTGTTACTCTAAACGTTATTTAGTGGATATCCATATTTGAGTAGACTCCCTGTTTTTTTTTTTAAACAGTGTGAATTACATCTACCGGTTTGCGTACCGAGAGACTATAATCTCTCAATATATACATATATGGTTAAAAGGTAAGCGATAAGCATATACTTATTAAAAAGAATAAGTTTAGGAAATTTAATTCAAATGTTTTGTTTCTTTTTAAGAGGATTTAATAAGCAGACGACAAATAGCCACCATTTTCAATCTTGCTGCTTTCCGACTATCACTTTGCAGCGTGCCCGGTAAACGATAGTCTAGCCAAAAATATTTCCATTGTCTGGACTCCTTATTTCCAGAATCAAGCCGGATTGTAACGTTAGGTTGTAGATTTCTCCTTGAAGTCATAACTATAAATACAAGTACTAAAACCAAAAAGGCGGTTATAGGAATCTGGCGCGAAACTTATCAGCTAAGCATTTACAAATCCACAAGAAAATATTATAAAACAATAAAATACTCACTGGAGGTCCGGGTGGGCCAGGCAATCCAACAGGACCCATTGGGCCGGGAGGGCCTGTTGCTCCTGTTGTTCCCTGTAAAGAACAAAGATAATCATTAGCAAATTGAAAACAGATATTTTCAAAAGTCAAATATAAACAATGAAAAGCTTTCAGTTGATAATGAAAACGGCGAACCCAACCAAAAAATTTTTTTTAACAGCATATCTATGTTTCCTAGGTTATTTAGTACCGAATTCTGTCATGTTGACAAAAAATAAATAAATAAGTAGTCTTAGGTTCGGTTTGCACGAGAGTAAAAAAAGAAGAAAAAAAGAAGGTAGACATAGATCCGGTTTACCATAAATCTTTATATGCTGTGAGAGTAAGAAAAATGCTAGGCATAGGTCCGATTTGTATATGAGAGAAAAAAAATAAGATGGCGTTTGAACGAGAGGAAAAACAAAGAAGAAAGCAATCATACTAAGCCTTAATGTTTTGCTTTGACACATGAATGACTGCGAGTTTTCGACTCCATTAAGATTATCTTAAAAAAATATTTTGTCAAGTGGGATGAACATTTCAGTATGCTCCTGTACTTACCTATTAGACAGTTAAATTTATGAATTAGAAACAATAAGAGATTAACAATAATAATAATAAGAAAGAAAGAATTATAGCAATACTAGTGTACCCGTGTCGTCAAAAATAAAAGAAAGTTTTAATAGTGAAATGTAATGAAACAAAAGCTTTGAAACAATGTATTGAGATTCAATAAAGAATTCACAACTAAAATGGAGTCTAATGAAACGTTTATTTAATCTGTTCCCTTTATATTTCTTCAACGTTCAATCGTATCGATGATTAATTGATTACTCCTGGTATTATATAAATCGCCTTTTGCCTAATGTCTTTTCATGTTAAAAAATATAACAGTAAAATATCTCTCGGAAGAAAAAGATTAGCAACAGAACGACGAAAATGGTGACGACAAAGCCTATTTCAAGATCAAGTTGTTGCAAGATGATCATTTATAAACAAAGGTATCTGAAAGTCTCACACGAAAGGTTTGAACAAATAAAATTGCAATCTAAGAAACGTATGCCTAAAGGAATTGACTATAAATATTTTTATGATGAACTTTGTAAATTTAAGCGACAAGGTCTCATCAATTTACAGTTGAGGTGGCTAGATGTAACCGTAAGTTCTATACTAACAGTTTCTTTTCTCACACTTCTCGCTGGTGGAATTCTCTCCCGGCTTTTTGCTTCTGAGTAAACTTTGATTTTCAAGAATTTAAATGCAATGTCAATCGTTATCTTCTGTCTAAATTCCTGTTCTTTTACTGTTCTCTCTCTTCTTAATAGTATTTTTCTCATTCTCTTACACCCAGTAATCATTTGTGTCTTTGTTGTTTCATTGCCTTACTTTGGTCGGAATGATTAAAACAAATGGTTTCAACATGGCTGCACAGAAAAGAACATTGGAGAGCGTTTTATTTTTTTAGCCAGACTTCAGGAAAAGAATCTCAATTTTGACAAGACATTCTCTGATAAGGGAAACATGATCCAGGACGGAATCTATTGATGAAAAATTGGTCATTTTGTCTGGTGGCATTCAAAGGGAATACTTTATTATGAATGACTTGAATCTGGAGACACTGTTATTAGACAAAGTAACAGTAATGAGGAAGTGGTTCCTTTGAATGACGCGTTGGAAAAAACAAATTCCAAATATTTGACTTTATGACAAATCTCATTCCTAATTGCGACAATGAGAGATCTGGTATGGGAATCATTTCTACACAGAGCGTATTCTCCAGACCTTTTTGCCGGCATCACACTGGTTATACTCAATGCAGCATTCCTTGTCTGGTCCGCAGTTTAAAAAATTCAAGATATCGAAGAATTTTTCGAATCGAAAACAGAAGCATTTTTATAATAGGAGTGTATAAGTATAGCATAAGGTCAAAAGAAGTGCTTTGAAGAGTAAAAATTATATATATATATATATATATATATATATATATATATATATACTAGCAGTAGAGCCCGGCGTTGCCCGGGGATGTAACAGTAAGAGATAGATCAAGTATCGACCATCATAAAGACAAAAATAAAACTGACAAAGATTATTGTTTAAGGTTGACGGACACGCATGTCTTAATTAGTTTTTTTTTTACGAATTGGTCAAACCCAAACAAAAGCATTGTTTTCAATCGTTATGAGTCTACCGATTGAATAGAATTTTATTATAAACAATTGTCTTGTAAATGGAATTTTTTAAAGCATTCTGAATGAAAAAATAAAGAAAAAAGTGTGCAAGACAATAAGAAACGCTACCTGCCAAAAAAAGTGAAAAAGTTGAAAAATGTAGGAAATCCGATCCCATATATAAACGAACACAGACACACACACTCACAAACAACCTGGGTTTTATAATAAGTATAACTCGATATGAGTTGTCCCCTTTTCATTCTCGATAGCGATGCCTCTTAATCGTGTTTTCAAATTGATTTCGTGCAAAAACAATTGTGTTTTTCCAATTTTTGGCGCTGTCAGAACCACCGCAAGTAATTTTACGTAGTTCTGTGAAGTTTTGTTGAAATCGGTTGAAAAATGTAGGAAATCCTATCCAAAATATAAACGAAACAGACACACACACACGACCTGGGTTTTATAAGTATGATTATAGGATAAAGAACAAATAGGAAACGTTTATCAATCTCATAGGTTCCACTTATATTAAAGCTTCAAAAGAGAATGAGATATGGAGGAAAATTATGTTATTTTCATTTTTGTGTTTTATTTTCATTTGTTAAGCAGATTTCACGTGCATTTTACATGTTAAGCATCATTCGTGTGTATAATTTATGGCATTCTGAACACACGAACGCTGCTTAACATGTCATATGCATGTAAAGCCTGCTTAAGTAATGAAAATTGCATACTTTTTTCTTCATATCTCATCTTCTAATGAAGCTGAAATAAAATTGAAACATGTTAGATTGATATCATTCTATCGGGTTCCGATACATATTTTGATCTGTATACGATACCAATTGATATATGCACACACACACACACACACTATATATATATATATATATATATATATATATATATATATATATATATATATATATTCGTTCGTTGGCGGAATTTGTTGCTGAGTATTGGGGTGGTCATCGACATTACCTTTTTTTGTGAAAGGAGTCCTATATTGGATCTTTATATATATATATATATATATATATATACACACACACATTGGGTGTAACAGCAAAATTGTCCAATTCGAGTAAAAGCAAAATTGTCCATTTGTTAGATTAAGATTTGAACTTGTACCTTAGAAATGATTAAAGATATCTTACTGGAATTTTCCGAGATTTTTATGACACTCGACTATTTATATGTGCTGGCCAATGGGACATTAGGGTTATCATGGCCTATTGTATTATCCTAACGGTTATTGGATAGGCGGTAACGGTTATATTACAAATTATACTAGAGGCTATAGGATAAAAATAACTGAATGCAAATGCGGTTATTTGTAGCTATTTTTTTAGTGTTGTTTGTTAACTCATTTATTCTTCATTATTTAGTGTATTTTTCGTTATTTGTTTATTATTATTACTACTACTACTACATTTAATTGTGTTTATGTGCGCATTTGTAGTTTGTTAATTTCTTTGTTTATTTATTTTAATTTATAATTTTAGTAATTTGAAATATAACCGTTACCGCCTACCAAATAACCATTACAATAATACAATAGAGTCAGCATATATAAATAGTCGGGCCAACACTTAACATACATGGCCTCAAGATTGCGTTCAAGCATGAAGCAGACTGTTAACACTCGGTGTTGACCTCACTGTCCACTTATATAAAATGCTAGAAGATATCAACAGATGATGCTAAAATGGATTTTGCGTTCAATATCACAACAGGCCGTCAAAAAAGCCAGGTGTATCAACGGCTGCTCGAGGTGGAGATCCACACTTCACCCCATATCAATGGCTGCCGCTACATATGAACACATGATCGATCCAACTGCGCTCGGGATGTGGACGTGTGGGAGAGAACCGTATGACATATATCACCACCACAAAGAGAACAGTGTTTCTTACATTCACACAGGGAGGTAGAGTTTGTGTTTGGCGAGCTCTCCACAGAAACACTCCCATTGGCCGAATCTAAGGGTCGAGGTCTAGCGTTAATTAAAATGTAATGTTACAGATGAAAGATTTGGTCTCGTTTTCTAATTGGTGAACCTATGAAAAAAATTTCAAACTATTAAGACAATAATTGCATTTAGTAGACAATAAGTTTTTGTAGACATAATCTTATGTATAAAAATTCATGGATACATGCTGGCGTAATGGATATCGGCTTGAAACGAAGAAATCGGAGATCCGAGTTCGAATTTCAGTCTCGTTCGTTAGATTCACTTATTCCAAAATATCCATTTATTCAGGACAGACTAAGCCCTCTAAGCCATGGTTGGCAACCAGGAAAACCAACATTCAGAGGGTTGGGTTCCATCAGACTAGACATCACTGCTGCTACGGCTTCAGTATTTATCATGCCCTTACGACCCTCAGGGGTTACGAGGCTCGTGATAGAATATTGATTTTAGATTCTTTTCAGTCTTTTGTTTTTGGTAATATGGAACAAATACATCTGGTTTGCATTGGTTGCCAACCACCTCTATAGGATACAACCTAGAAGAAGGAAAAACGAGCCTGGAGAGGCTTGGGTTCTGTCAGGTTATTTTGCCCAAGACTGCTACGGCTGCTGTACATGTGGTACCCTAAAGGATTACAGGACTCGTAATAAGATTTTTTTACATCAATTTAATAATCCTACGAGGATGGCATCCCGCTCTCACCCCTTCACTGTCGAAACTCCTAAATGTAGCCGTCTCTTCTACTCCAATAGCTTCATGTCTCGCACCTCTCGCCTGTGGAACTCCCTTCCCTATTCCAGTTTCCCTGAGAGCTATAATCTCCAACTATTCAAGTGTAATGTCAATCGACATCTCCAGTTGCCTTGATCTAT